TTAATAGGAAGAAAGTAAATATTCTCCCCCTATTTTTCCTTGTTTATTTTTTGTGACAGGGTCTCACTATGTAGTTCAGGCTGGCCTTGAACTTACTATATGTAGCACAGGCTGGCTTCAAACTCAGCAATGCTCTGGACTCAGAGCAACACTACACCTAGTCCCCAAATCATTAAAGAGAACAACTACAACAAAACTGCCAGTGTGTTAAACAGCTCCACAGTTCCTCAAAAACAGTTAATTAATGACCAATCAATTATGGATAAATAAACAAAACAACTGGAAATACATTCACACAAAAAGTACACAAATGTCCACAGAAGTTGTGTTTATACTAGCCAAAGAATGAATAAACTCAAGTGTCTCTCAACAGGTGGATAAACCAAATGTTGTACAACCATACAACAAAATATTCAGCCATGAAAAAGAATGAAGTACTAATATATGCTATAACATAATAAGCCTTGAAAACAAAGCCAGTGGACTATTTTTAAGTCAAAACCAATCAAATCTGTTGAGACAAAAAGTAGGTGAGTGGTTGTCAGAAGCCAGAGGGGAAAGGGAAAGAGAATGACTATTATAGAATATGAGGTTTCTCACTGGTATGATGAAAATATTCTGAAATTAGATAGTGGTGATAGTTGTACAACACCACAAATGTATTAAAATCACTAAACTGGGCCGGGGATTTAGCTCAGTGGTTCTGCCGTCTGCCTCACAAGTACAAGGACCCCAGTTCGATCCCCAATACCAAAACAAAACAAATCACTAAACTGTACACTTTAAAAGGTGAACCTGCCAGGCATGGTGGAGCATACCTACACGATCCTAGCAATTGGGAGGCTGAGAGGAGGGTCGTGAAGAGTTCGAGGCCAACCTAAGCTATAGAATAGTGAGTTCAAAGCCAGCCTGAACTACATAGCCAGACCGTCTCAAAAAAAGGGTGAACTTCATGGTATAGAGTATCTCAATAAAGTTATTTGCTAAAAAGCCCAAAAAGGAAAAATAATAGGGGCCTTTCAACGCCTTTCATCTCAGGAGTCAATCTTGCACCCTTAATCCTTCCTTAAGACTAGTTAGTGAACCCAAGGGTTTGTCCTAGCAGTTCCCTGGTGTCATCATCATCATCACCACTCTGTCCAATATTAGTACAATACAGGCTTTTAGGCTACTGCTTAGGAAGACACTCTTCATTCAACAGTAAGTAGTTTGTATCTTGGCACTTGAAGGATTACACCCTATTCATCCAAATACAATGTAACTCCCTCCTACTCAAGTAAGAAACCTCAAAGAAGCATTCTGGGTGCTCCAGAGACCAGAGAGAGTCTTGGGAAAGGATGTCCCTGGGTCAGAGCAAGCCACTACCACCCCATAGTGCTGTGACCTAACCTGTACTCAGCTCCACCCCCAACCATCAACCATGTTCCTCTTCCAATAGAGGAAATGGCAGGGGGTGCGAGGACCTCCAACAGAGCAGCAAGCATCCCATTCAGCCTCTGATCCTCATTTGAGCCTCTTCAAAAAACAAGGCTCAAAAAAAAAAAAAAAAAAAAAAAAAAAAAAGGAAAAGAGAAAAAGAAAAAGAAACAGAAGGCTCAGGCAGTGTCTACAATAAGCAGAAGCACTCACTAGTGCTGGTCCACTCAATAGTGGGTCCCTTGCTGGAAGAGAGGTTAGGTAGACTCTTAAAGACATTGGTGTAGGAAAAGATTTTATGAACATGGATTTTATGTCCATGAAATAGCATAAACAATCAACAAGTGGGATCTCTTCTTATTAAAAAGCTTCTGCACAGCAAGAGAAACAACCAAGAGTGGGAACAGACAACCCACAATGTGGGAAAAAATTTTCACCAGCTGTTCCTCAGACAAAGGTCTGCTACCTAGAACATATAAAGAATTTTAAAAAAATCAGACCTCCCAAATTTAAAGAGCCAATCAAAAAATGGGCATCTGAAATGAACAGACATTTCTCAAAGAAGCAGAAATTACAAACACATGAAAAAATGTTCAACATCACTGGTCATTTGAGAGATGCAAATGAAAACAACATCTCACCCCAGAAAGAATGGCTGCTATCATGAAATCAACCAATAACAAATGCTGGCAGGGCTGTGTGGAAAGAGGAACCCTTCTCCACTGTTGGTGGGAGTGTGGACTGGTGCAACCACAGTGGAAATCAGTATGGAGATACCTCAAAGAACTAGGACTGGAGGTCCCATTTGACCCAGCTATTCTCCTGCTGGGTTTCTTCCCCAAAGAATTAAAAGAATCATACCATAGTGATATATGTGCACCCATGTTCATAGCAGCACAATTTGTAATAGCTAAAACTTGGAAGCAGCCCAACTGCCCATCAACGGGAGCCTGTATAAAGAAAATGTACTTTTAGTACTACTCGGTCATAAAAACTGAGAAATTAGAGACATTTATAGCTAAATGTTTGCACATTGAGGCAATACTCAAGTGAAATAGGACACACATGTAAATACTGAATAGTTTCTCTAGTGTGAGAAACTGAAAGTATAAATAAGGACTAAAAGGTATAACAGATAATGTGAAATAGGAAGAAAAGGGACAAAAGGGAAGGGGAAATAGGAGGGGAAAAGGAAAGGAAAAAAGGGAATGGAATTAATATGAGAAAATGAAATAATGAAAAAGTCTTTGTAGATAGGGAGGGATGGGGAAAAAATAAGAGCTAAGATGAATTATGTAAAGGTGCAAATATCCAATGATGAATGTCCTTATATTGCATGCCTAAAATGTAGCAATAAAATTAATTTTAAAAAATAGTGGGTCCCTTGAAATTTCCTGACATGTAGTTAGTTCCTGCATGTGGGCCTCATCTCCCCAGTTTGTACTGGGGATGGGGTTAGGGAGGAAAGCACCAGATTAGAAGTCAAACGTCAGGATTCTAGTCTGGGCCCTCTGTCCAAGTTCTCAGACGCCTCAGGAAAGCCTACAAGAAAGCCAAGCATGTGGGTAGCAGCCTCTCCGAAAAGATTCCACTGAGTGTTCCACTCTGGCATCTGCAGGAACCTGGGACCCAGGAGAGGAGTCCGAGTCCAGGTCACATTGAAGGACTGGGCCGCCCCAGGCTTCCCGGTGCAGGGCCGATTTCATCTCTCAGAAAAGGGTATAGCTCAAGACCCCATTCAGCTGCCCACTGCTCAGGATGGGAAGACAAGGTAGAAAGACTGACCCTTTTACCCAGACACATGAGTGGTACTGTGCTCGTGTCTCCCTCACTAAGGCGTAAAGGCCGGCGGGAGGGTCTTGTTGGTTTACCCCAATACCGGGGTAAGGGACCGGACACGCGGGGGGGAGCTCAGTAAGCGCCCGGACCCAGCCCGCCACACAGAATGCAACCAGGCATGGCGTGGCCTGCCTGGTCCTCTCGAAGTCACTACTCCTGCCCGCCATGCGCCCAACATCCCAAAGGGGAGAAAGGGGCCCGGGCGGTCGCCCCCACAATGACTCACCAGGGAGGCCGCCGCCATGACGGGCGCCAGAGAAGCCCTAGGTAGCAGCTGAGGCAGTTGCTCCGGTTCGGTTTCCGCGCCGCCAACCGCCGCCAATAGCAACGCAGGGCGCGTCGCTGCGCCCCGCCCACCGCAGTTAAAGGAAAAGTGCCTCGGCTTTCTACAAGCCAACAGGAAGCAGAGCTGTTCGGACGACACCGCGGCCTCCGCGCCCAGCTCCTCCAAGCCAACCGATCTACAGCCCACGATGCCAAGAGTCTCTGTCCACTGTCACTCATTCCTCTTGAGAATTTTAAAAGCCCAGACGAGGGCTTCGCTCCACCATACCGTCGCCCAGTTACGTCATGGGAAGCGCAGCCTTTTGGGAAATGCAGTGCCGCGCCACCCATACCCTATAGTCCAGAGGACCAGAAAACTACACTTCCCGAGATTCTGAGGGGCTGCCGAGGTTTTATCACCAGGAACTACTGCCTTAAGGATGCCGGAGAAGGACAAGTGAGTGGCCTTCACTCGCGCAAGTTTTGACTGCAAGCCAGTTATTTGCTGCCTGGAACTCTAAGTACGGCCTTCCGAACGCGCTTGAGACAAGTGTGGATTCACAAGAACATAGATCACTCGGAATCACAACTCTAGAGTTGCTTTGATTTGACTCTCAGTTCTCTCCTGATTCAGTGTGTGATCTCAGGAAAATATGCCTGTGCTCTCTGGACCAGCTTCTCTGTTTATGTTAACGAGTGAGTGGAATGTAGCCTACTTTCGCAGGAATAGCTGTTGGAAGAGGCAGTACGGCAGTTTGACCAGTAGAGGCCGGCCCTACTCCCTTTTTGAGGTCCAAAGGCCCAGTCTGTCCTTAGACCTTTTCTCTACCAAGCCTCCCAGGGGGCATGTGACCCTGAACGGGTTTGTTTCACAAGATTCAAGAACTTTCCCTCCCCTCCTGGACAGGCCAACTTGTCCAGACTCCCAACACTGATTAGGTTCTGTCCATCTCTGAAGCTTTTCACGACACATCAAGACCTGAGAGTCTGTCCCTGGATCTGCAAATCCTAGCTAGATTCAGTAAACTCAAACTGGCAAGGGCAGGAGAACCTCTGATTTAGACCTAAAAGGTCTGAGGCCAGAGGTGAGAATCAGTCATACACTTAATCCCATTTTAAACATGATGTGGCACAGGACCGGTTCCTTTACCTTAGAAATGTTTGGGCTAATATAAATTAGAAACTATGATATCCTTAGAACAAATATTGTTGCTCTTCACACTCACCCATACCCACACCCTGAAATGTTCAACACTGTTCAAAGGATAATTTTCTAGTCTCCCCATCAACGTTCCCATCATATTCAGTTGTTTTGTCTACCAGCCAAACATTTAGAAGGGGAAATTACAGAAGAAAAAAATATAGAAAAATATATCAATATTATCAATGTATCAATTATATTGATAAACTATATCAATTGTTGGGTGGTATTTTTAGTTTTGGGGTTTTATTTTTGTCAATTTTATCTATGGAGTACTTTTGATCTTTAGGAGCTTGTACTTTAGAAAACAATTCAGGGAAGCTTCTGTAAAATGGTTTTCAAACCAGGCATCTTAGTACATGCCTATAATCCCAGCACTCAGCAGGCTGAGGCAGGAGGATCACCAATGCGTTCAAGGCCAGCTTGGGCTACATAGTTCAAGGCCAGCCTGACCTTGTCTCAACGTCACCAAAAAATAAATAAATAAATAAAATGGTTTTTAAATGTTAGGTTTGCTCAAAGTGACAGCACTGGATGATTTTACTCACCCTCCCAGTCTTCCCAGATTACTGCCTTCTGTATCCTTACCCACCAGGGAGGAGGTGTGGGGACACCGCACCTGACTCATGCCACCTCCATTAGACGGGACTCCCATTCTGATTGAGGGTTCCGTATTGTGCCAGAGCTCTGTTTTAGGGTGTTAAAGGTGGCTGCAGGGGAGCATCTTTTTTCCTGTGCCACCATATTGGGGAGGTCTCTGTCCTGGTACAGAGCCCACAGGCAGGTCCCTGTGGCAGAGCCTGTTATCCTGGGATCATTCACCACCCCTCTAACCAAGGACCAAGGCCATCCCAGCTCAGTACAGGGAAAGAGGGATGAAAGGCTGGACATTTCCCACTGAACCCAACTCAGCCTGCACCTGGGAAGCCCCATATACTGTCAGTTTTCCCTGCACCTACTGATGGTTGCCATTTGAAACTCTGAGCAGGGCAGTTCAAGACTTTTGCTAGGGTCAAGCAGATATGGAGATGAGAACAGGCCCTGTCACCTCCAAGCTATACCACCTCTCCCAGCTTGTGTGGTCACAACTGTAAAATAATCATGTTACACTGTCATGGTGAGGGAGGGAAATTCCACAAGCTATTAATTCATGCCCAAACTTGACATCAAGTTGTCAGTTAATATATATTGTGTGACATCATGCTTCCTCTGGTCCATTGATCTGGCTAACATCTCTCTACCTTTATTCAACTGCTCTTCCTCAGCTCTCTCTCCTTCAGCCATGCTGATCTTCCCACTGTTTTTAAACAAGAATGTACCCAACCAGAAGCTGGGTGTGGTGCTGCATGCCTATAATCCCAGCACTTGGCAGGTTGAGGCAGGAGAATCACCATGAGTTTGAGGCCAGCCTGGGTTACCTAGTGAGTTCAAGGCCAGCCTACATGGCCAGAACCTGAATCAAATGGGAAGGTACCAGCCATGCCCCCATCTCAGCCCTTTTACGCTGGCTCCTGTACCAGTGCCCTTAACTTCCATCAGGACTGTTCAAATGTCATCTCAGTGTAGCCTTCTCTGACCATTCCACTTAAAATGCCACCCAACCCCACCCCTTTCTCTGCTTTATTTTCCTCCAGTAAATTATAACCATGTAACACTCTGGACTTGACTGTCTTCTTCCCGTAAGAATATTGGCTCCAGGGGACAGATATGAGTAGGACTCAGAAGAGGAAGGGTGGCCTGGGTGTAAGCAACTGACTCAACAAAGATCTGGGAACTGGACTGAACAGGGGTGTGATAAGCAAGGACAGAGTAGGTGGGGTCAGGAATGAGGCAGATTGTAAGGCTACCCAGTGTATACAAGAGTAGCCTTAAATGACCAGGGAGCCACGAGTCCTCTCCTAGGGCTGAAAAGAGCCAAAAGAAAGGCTCCATACAGATGGGTCTGTGGCTCTAGGCCCACCTGTTGTGACAGTGACCCTGCTAGGTGGGGGACTTCCCCAGGAAGTCCCACAGCAATTCTGGACCTCAGTGGTCCAGACATGTGGAACTGGCATGCCAGCTTTCTCTAAAGGCAGGCCATGCTCCCAGACTGAGGATAGATCCAATGGGGCCATCAACCTTCAGCCTCACCCAGCCCTGCTCCTCCATCCAATGGCCATGCCACTCTAGTAAAGTCTTCACTGGTAGGGACGTGAGAGTATACCTCTGGAAGAGGATCCACCTTGGGCCTGTGCTTCCACATTGCAGGCAGTGGGTGGCGTGACTGGAGCTGCCATAGGATACCAGGAAATAGTGGCATCAGTGAACCAGAAGTACCTTAGGAGCAGCTTCCAGGAAGTGTGTGGACACAAAGCCGGCCAGTGGCTGCACTCCTTGCTACCCACTCGGGTGAGTGGGAAAGTGTCTGTGTGCCAAGTTCTCCTACCCATGTCTCATGAACCCAACCCATCTCCTCCCTTCCCTCCCTTCCATGAATCCCTTCAAAGAGGCCAGGCCTCTTTCACAATACCTAGGGAGAGGAGAAAGGGCCAGCACAGCACAGCTGGGAAAAAAGAACAAATCCCACAAGACTGAAGCCCCCTGCCTTGGCCCTGCACATACAAACACACATAAGGTTTGGACTCAAAGTTGAAAACTTTTCCAGTAGATAAAGTAAATGGAGCTTCAGAACTGTGAGGTCTCCATCTTGGCTGCTGTTTAACACTTCCACAGGGGAAGCCTAGGCATCAGTTTTAAAAAGCCTTCTGGGTGAGAACAGTGGGCAGTCAAGACTTCGAATAATTGCTTTAGACCAGCATTGATGGAAAGAACTTTCTGGTATGATGGAAATACTCATCTGCATTGCCCAGTGGTGGTAGCCACTGGTCACATTTGATTATGCACATTTGGAGTGTGGTTAGTGTGGCTGAGGAACTGACTTTTTATTTCTTTTTTTTTTTTTTTTTTTTTTTTTTTT